CGGTTAAAGACGGAGAAACTGCCACTGGGGAGAACTCAAGTAGACAAGCCAGTGTGTTACAGAATAGTGATTCCCAAAACGAGATGGGAAAAGACATTCAGGACCAAATGACTGAGATTTCGGTGCCGTTAACAGCTGAGGAGGACATAATGAAGGAAATGATGACGCCGGCTGATGATACTGATCGTGCCAAGTCGCCCACAGAGAAAGATTGTGATGTTTCTACCAATGAACTGACAGTGATGGAGGGAATAGAAATTAATTTCAGTACGAATCTTGATAGTACACCAACAGAACATCGCAGAGATGAACAAAACCTGGAAGATACCGTTTCTAATGAGTGTTCATTTGAGGCGACATCAGACATGTACAAAGGCGTTCAGGAAGCACATGGTGTTGTTAATACCCAGGATGTTAGCTGTGTGACTGATTGTTTGGAGAAAGAGGAGGATTTAGGTAGGAACAAAGAGGTTCAGATGATTGAAGAAACTATGGAGGGAGAAGAAACTGAAGTTCTGGGGGCAAATGAGCTTGTGGAGGAACATGCTCTGCCTTCTTCAGATGATAGATGTTGGGAAACCACCAATGGCTGGGATAATAATGATGAAATGAATGAGGAGGGGGACCAGTACAGTGCTGGGAAGATTGATGAACAGACACTACTGGAGGAAGATGAATTGAGTAAAGGACACATTGCAAGTGCTGGGATTGCAGATGATGCATCAAGCAGAGGTAAAATGGCTAAACTTAGAACATTTTTGTATGCTCTGTTATTAATAATCCATATTCCTGATTTCTGTTTTGTCCTCATAGCTCTGACACTGAGAAAAACAGAAGAAATAATAATCAGAGATGCTCCTTGTGTCCAGACTGAAGTATCGCTTCAGTCAAACTATCGGAGCCCCAGAGTGTGCAGTGAGAATATCTCAGCGGTGACGTCCAATTCAGAATCAACAGATGAAGAAGATATTGAAGTAGATGTTGTTGATGAGTCTGTAGAAGATCCGTTAGGGCTTTTGGCGGCTAGACAGTTTGTCACACTGGCTATTGAGTGTCTAATGGAGCAAGGGGATGAGTTGGATGCCACTGAAGAAGAGGAGGTAGATGTCACTGGAGAAGAGACGGAGTGAATTTTTATGTTCATGTTGAGAATACATGTTTCGCATTTTGAAATCAATAGCAGATGTTTGAACCAAGTTCTTAACCCAAGGTTTAATATATCAAATGGTGAGAAGAATTCTCTTTTTTTTTTTTGTCAATTTGACATTACTTATGTGAATTAGCCTATAAATTCTTTCAATTTATTTTGGATCGTCTCATACACGTATAAAGTTACATATTAAAATTATGTAAATTAAATTTATATAAGTTCACATTACACTTTTGTATGTGTGCTTTATTTAAAATATATCACGATACCTATTTTGTGTAATTATTTTAATCTGACTTTGTGTGTATCTTTATTCTTAAACAAATTCAATAATTGTGCAAGTGCAGAGTATAACACAAAGTATAGCATAAAATGGCTTTCCCAATGTGAAAATATTAAATTCCCTCGAAATATTAGGAAATTTGAAAGAATGTGGTATTATTCTATTGGCATAGTTATAAAAGATTCTATCAGTTAGAAATTGAGAACGTGGTTTCTATGAAATTTGAAAAAATCTTTATCCAGTAACTGGAAGTCATAGGAATTAGTAAACAGATGCGAGAATCATGATAACAGCGAGATAAAATAATAGTTAAATTAAGAAATGTAAAAAAACTATAAATGTAATAAAAGGGATATTGTCATTACACCGAATACTTTAATCAAAGCATAACTTCGTTTAGAAATGAAGACGCAGCGAAGCAAACAGCGGCGGTTTTGAATAGAAAACTTTATTGTCAGCGGAAGTACCAATTTGCTGGCTGGATAGGATCCACGTGGGTACTTCTTCCGGTCAAGCGCGCTCACTGAAGGTTAAAGCAAGCTGTCAGAGCTCTTTGTTGAACGGGACCCACGCGTTGTCCGGTGGGTTTTTAGCGAGGGTAAACCGAAAGGTCATTTGCAGAGATGGACCCCATGAAAGCGCAGCAGCTCGCCGCGGAGCTGGAGGTTGAAATGATGGCTGACATGTATAACCGGTATGAAGCCTACGGTGGTCTGTAAATGTGTAACAGCATGCTTTCTGACAGATTACTTACGTCCTCGTCATCTGACATACGAAATCTATGGACTTGTGTAGTGGGTTACGCTATTGAATAGTATATTGTAGATGCGGCGTGGTAACATTACTACAATCAGTGACTATCGGCAGGCTACACGTTTTGTAATGTTATTATTGTATCTTATTTAGACACCAGGCTTTGCTCAGTATCACATTCGATTATTTAGAACAGTGGTCACCAACCTTCTTAGGCCCAAGATCCCTGACTTCGTCGCTTCAACCCGCGGACATTAAACAACAACCCGCGGCAACAGTGTTAAAGTAGCCCAATTCCGCGGGAAAACCGTGGACTTGGCAACACTGCTTATGAACCGACCGCACTATAGCGTTTCCTTGGTTACCGCTGTAAACAAAGCAGAGCTGCGCTTTATACGGAGAAGAAAATGCCATTGCCATCGAAACTTTTCTCAAGACAGTACCCTTCAGTGATACATTAATATAACCCCATAAATGTAATGAATTTTTGTACTTATTTTACTGTATTTTTCGGGATCTACTGGGACAGTGATAAAGATCTACCAGTCGATCGCGATCGACGGGTTGGCGACCACTGATTTAGAACACGACAGAACCTGCCTTTTGCTATACTATGTGACATGCAGTAACATTAGTCGTGACTGCATCTTCTCCTGTCGCACTTGTGTTGTCAGAACCCTTGTCAGTTTAATGCATTCAGTTATTAAGCAGGTTCACAGTCTTCTTCCGTTCATGTTAACTATTTTTGTATCATCCGTCATATCAGGAAAGTTGCATTAATATTATGGTCTTCAAGCTGTATGCACGCAAATATAGTTAAATGCATCCTGTATATAATCGTTCAGCTCGAATCATGTTCACCTTTTCTGGCCTCCGTCAAAGCAGACAGACCAATCATTTTGAGTATATAAAAATCTCTCAAACTGTTAGCCTGTGCCCTTGAGATAGGCGTCTTAGATTTGTATAGTGACTGTTTTTGCAATTAGCAGAAGCACTTTATAGCAGGTGACCTTGTTTTTTAATAAATTGTGTTAAATGGCAAGTATTGTGTGCAGCACAGCCTAAACTGTGTTTTTAGGAAAATTAAAATTTTCCATGCATTGCATTCATTCCTGGTATGTAGCCTGCTGTTTGTAGTAGGACTGCAATATTTATTCTGATAATGATTAATCTGTCAATTATTTCTCAGTTAATCAGATGAAAAGCCAGATTATATTTTGTGTATGTATCACATCTTATAAATTGAAGGCTATGAAAACATAAAAAATAAAAGAAAAACAAAAGCACAGGCTAAATGTTAAGTGGTAAGAGTCTGAATCTGAACATAGTAATTATATCTATACCCCATTACAATATTCCCTTTACTGTTACTGCTCTCATAAAAATACAATTACTTGTGCTACATGTAGCAATTTAATTACACATTTAACATCAAAATATATATTTTATTCAGAATTACTGCAGACATATAGCAGCTCAATCTATATCCATTTCAGTTGGGTTTTGTCCATAGAAATGCATTATTCATTACTGTATAATGGCAAGACTCTGATGAGCAAGATGTTTTCTGGATGTTCCTGCAAATGCGATTAATCGATCAAATTTATTGTCCTTTTTTTTTTTTTCTCGGCGGTTTTTTTTTTTTTTAGTTGTTGTTGTTGATTAATTGTTGCAGACCTAGAATGTAGTCTCTACAAAATAATGGCATGAATTAATAAAGATTATAGTACTTGAATCATTCATGAAGATGAACATTTCTGTGTTTCAATTAGATTATACATTACATAACCAAATGTGTATGATCTCATTTGTCCTGTGCCTTTTCCTCATGCAGAATGACCAATGCATGTCACAGGAAATGTGTTCCACCTCATTACAAGGAGGCAGAACTTTCAAAGGGGGAAGCTGTGTGTCTGGACCGCTGTGTCGCCAAATACTTGGACTTGCATGAGAGACTTGGTCGGAAACTCACTGAGCTCTCTGTTCAGGATGAGGAGGTGATGAGGAAGGCCGCTGCAGGCACTGGATAGACCTCCTACAGACTCTTAAGGGTGGGCCTGAAGGCCTGTGGATGGGGTTTATGGGAGAACTGGGCACTGTGGACATCTAAAGGGGGAAATCGGGCAGCATGGCTACGGATATAAACAACATAACATGAATATGAACAATATTGTGACAAATATTGATCCATTATTAGACATGCCACTAAAAGAACAAGACTTTTGGAAGGAGGTGGGATATATTTTGCCCTACGAGTTATTGATAGTTTGTTGGCATGAACATTATTAACATCACCGGAATAAAGCGTTTGTCTGGGTAGGGAGATTTGTGAAGCATTGTGAAATTATGTCCTTGTGAACTTGTTTGAGACTTTTTTTTATGTTGTCACTGATCATTGTAATTTCTGACATTCTCCGAGTCATTTTACAAAGTGTACCTTTATTGCGCAATAGAATTAAAATGTTTACCGTTCTGTTTCTCTTCTGACTCTTTCTTTAAAATGAGCAAAAATTAGCATGTGTTATTATATAAAATTGTATTTAATAAAATTGTGTTAGGATGGTTAACTGACAGCTGAGAATGTAGTTTTTATTTATTTATTTTATGTTTAAAGAGGATTAATTTAAAGTCAGCTTCCCAGAGACAATTTTAATGTGCTGACAGCATGCTAACAGCAACCAATGGACTGTCCGTATGCTAAAAAATTCTTTTCAGGGAGAAGAGTCACTAAATTAATCTTTTTAAGGAATCACTTATGTAACAAATCCTCAGTGTTCAATGAGACGTTTCCTGTTTGGTTTTGGTCACTATAGGTCACCATAAACTGACTTTTGTATGGAAAGCAGCTGCTTGAAGATTCTTCATGGAATCAACAGCATACAGTTTTGGAACAACATGAGGGTAAGTATTAACAAAATTTTAATTTTGGGGGTAAACCGTTAATAATGGTAATTGTTCTATTTCCAAAGACTTTTATTTCAAGTTTTCTCAATGTATGTTAAATTGAGACTGCAATCAATCACGTGTAAAAGACGGTGGCTAGTAACTCCGGTGTGTTGACGGCAATGTTATTTTTCTTCATTATGTTCCTTTCACAAACATTGAGCAAGAGAAGGCAAACAGGCCGTCTTTCAACTAACTGCCTTGTGTGTGAATAGCCTACATTTCGAGGCACTATCCCTTTAAGAAAATAGGGAACTAGGGAGAAAACTTTCATTTCCTTTAAAGTTTTCTTAATAAAACCTACAGGCAACTTTTTATGCGGCGAAAGTTTCATTAGATGCTCGATATAAGTTCCTTAAACGTTAGGTTTTAATATTTTAAACGACTTTGCAGCCTTTGTCACTATAGCGACGTTCATCGTTTCTACTTCGGTAAGTTATATTTGCTCTTAGTTAATGCTTAATGTTACTTCGCCCTGCGTGATCGTCACGCTTCATTACATATACAACATTACCTATAAATGCGTTAAAAAGCCGTTGTGTTATCGTGTCGTCGTTTTGTACACCTTTATTAGACCTTCCGCCCACAAACCTTGTTTGGAGCAGGTTTAATATTTAATTAAACATTATAGGCTCACAATCGCCACGGTTTTCTATTCTTCTCCCTCTTCCTTGCTGTCACTCAAATTGTTTATTTTGTTTTGTTTTATGTTTGAAATTGTCGTTTTTACCTTTGGCAGTGATCTACCTGCATTACTGTGGTGGTGAGAGAGCAGCGCGGCCGGCAGATGGCAGCAGTGATCACTGAGGATAACGTGTACTGCGAGGCGGAGGTGAACGGAGCGCCCCCTGCTGATGAACAGGATCAAGTGCAGCTGCCCGCTCCTGAGGGAAACATACAGGGACAGGTAGCATCAGTAGTCTTAAAGCGTGTACTGTAGGCTAGGATTTTTCTTTTTTTTATGTAAGCTAGGATATATCAGAAGTATGTCTGATACTTCTGCTGTATTGACGACAAAACAGCTTGAAACGTTTTGTTAACTAAAAAAAAATCTACAGAATAAATAATTAACCACTGACAATTTTATGATTCCAGTACTTAGTTCTTCAATAAAAACTGTTGTTTAGGGGACATTAAATATTATATCATTTTACAAAATGTGATGTAATTTTGCATGTTTTACATCTTATAATTAAATAAATTAATAATATAAAAACAATAAATTATTATTATTTCTTGCAGCCTTCTGATTTTTGTCTTTAAATACTCAGAATTTATATTTGTGAATTTAATATACTGATGTACCATGAAGTTTGAAAGTCTAAATGTTTGTTCTTTAAAATTACATTACTGTTCAAAAGTCTTTTATGTTCTCTCAGGCTGCATTTATTTGAAAAATACATTAAAAACTGTAATATTGTGAAATATTATTACAATTTAAAATAACTTTTTTCTAATTTAATGTATTTTAAAACATAATTTATTCCTGTGATGGCAAAGCTGAATTTTCAGCAGCCATTCCTCCAGTCTTCAGTGTCACATGATACTTCAGAAATTAGTCTAATATGCTGACATTCTGATCGAGAAATATTTCTTATTACTCTCAATGTTGAAAACAATTGTGCTGCTTAATATTTTTGTGGAAACTGATGCGTTTTTTTTCCCAGGATTCTTTGATGAATAGAAAATTCATTTATTTGATATTTATTTTTGTAACATTACAAATGTCACTTTGATCAATTTAATGTGTCCTTGCTGCATACAAAAAAAAATTATTTTGGAAAATTTTATTAACTCTAGACTTTTAAAAGTACTTGTAAAACTTGAGTAAAAGTTGATTAGGAAAAGAAAATTGGGGTTCACGTCAATGTCATGAATGTGCTAAAAAACTGCAGAATCTCAAATATTCCATTTTACCTCATAACTTTTCTTTGTTTAATTTTTTAAAACCCTTTGTTTATGCCCATGTATAAAAGAAAAAAAACAATCTCGAATTTTCAACGTGGTCTCAGACTTTTGGACCTTTCTTCCACTGACAGGTGGAGGAGTTTCTCGGCCCACATCCTGACTACGATGAGGAGGAGGAGGAGCGCAAGTACTACAGACGAAAGAGGCTGGGTGTAGTGAAGAACGTGGTGGGGGCCAGTTGCGGAGGAATGATCATCTACAGCGTTTACATGGGTCAGCCATTGCGCATCACACACCACAGGCACATAACATGATTCAGTCCAGCGATGACCTCATACTCCTCAAAGTCTGCATGCTGCTTTATAAAAAGATCTTACTCTAAATACAACACTGAGTAGGACTCTACTTATGTCACACTGTTGTATCAGTGTGATTTCATTATGCACTGTCTGGCACGCACGCACGCGCACACACACACACACACACACACACACACACAGATGTCTCATTTGGTCTGAGACTGTGAAATCGAGAAACAGCTGACAAATCTGGGACATCTTGTCACAAGACAAAAACAAAAGAAGGTTTTTGGAGAGTTGTGCATGTTTCATCACGAGCTGTTTCTTTGTAGGTCTTTTACAGATGCAGTTAATTCTGCACTACGATGAGACGTATAGAGAGGTCAAGTATGGCACTTTAGGGCTGGAGGATATTGACAACAAAATGCTGATGGGCATCAACGTAACACCTATTGTCGGCCTGCTCTACACGCCGGTGCTCATTAGGTTAAGTTTTTGTCTTTCCTTGCATTTCTCTTTTGTTTCATAATGCTCATGCAACCTACGTTTTTCCGTTTTGATCATTTAGTTTGTTTCTTTGGATGTTTGTCACCCACCGTCACAGTTATTAGCAGCGCTTCTACTGTTCATCCACTTAATGCTTGAGCAGTTTTGGCACCAAAGGTCTTCTCACAACCCTGGTGTAAACTAAAAATGACTGGTGATAATTACAGTCCAGTAATCCCACACCCTTTATTTTCCAATTTAATTGTTTTTCTCAATTTCTTTCTCAGATTTCTTGGCACTAAGTGGATGATGTTCCTGGCATCAGGCATCTATGCTCTCTTTGTATCAACCAATTACTGGGAGCGATACTACACTCTTGTACCGTCAGCTGTGGCCATTGGCATTGTCATTGTTCCTCTTTGGGCGTCACTGGGAAACTACATCACCAGGTGAGGGTGTTGAGAAGCTGAAGGTGCACGGATCAGTGATGTACATTATTGTTTGAAAGTTTGAGGTCAGTTTGAGGAAGAAATTAATGCTTGTATTGAGCAAGTATGCTTTAAATTGATCAAAAGTAGTAGTAAAGACATTTATAATGTTACAAAGGATTTATATTTTAAATAGTGCTTTCAAACGATTAATCGCAATTAATTGCATCCAAAATAAAAGTTTTTGTTTACTTAATATATGTGTGTGTACTGTGTATATTTATTATGTACATATAAATACACAAACATACAGTATATATTTTGAAAATATTTACATGTACTGTATATACATTTATATTCTTATATTTTATATTATATATAAATATATTTAATATATAAACATAGCATATTTTTCTTAAATATATACATGCATGTGTTTGTATTTATATATAAATAATAAATATACACAGTATACACACATAAATGATGTAAAGAAAATTTTTTATTTTGGATGCGATTAATCGTTTGAAAGCACTAAAAATAAATAAATGCTATTCTTTATATTCATCAAAGAATCTTGAAAAATGTATATTAAGCAGCACATCCTTTTTGTCATTGTTAATAATAAGTAATGTTTCACCAAATCCGCATATTAGAATGATTTCTGAAGGATCATGTGACACTTAAAGACTGGAGTAATGACTGCTGACAATTCAGTTTTCCATCACAAGAAAATAATAACATTTTAAAGTATATTAAAATAGAAACCAGTGATTTTAAATTGTAGTAATATTTCACAGATTTGGTGTTTTTAATAAGAGGCTTCTTTCAGAAACATTTAAAGAACGTACAGAATTTCTGAACAATGGTGTGTGTCAGTCATTTTTAGCATATTGCTATTTTATTGGAAGTTTACCGTATTTTATTCTAATTCTCAATTTTCCACAAAGTTATTCAGCATAATATAGCAAAATAAAAGCAAAACTGAAGATGCAGCTGTGATGCACAATTTATCAGTACTATATTGATTATTGGCCAATATTAGCGATTTTTTAATATATATTTTGCAGTTACTGGCCATAACATGAAAACAATCCTTTGCTGTGTAATATTTTCAATACAAAAAACTGACCTTCTAACACTAGCATTTGCTATTCTTTCTCTATTCTATCTACTTGTTTTCTTTTTATTTATTATTTAAAAAACCCTTGCTACGGGTGTTAGACTAACCTGGACTTGTCACAGCATTTACATATTATTACCCGTTTGTTGGTTTAATTGCTTCTATTGTCCTCATTTGTAAGTCGCTTTGGATAAAAGCATCTTCTAAACGACTAAATGTAAATGTAAAATGATCCCAGTTCTGTTGGAGAAACTATAGCTAAGCCTAAGTGTGGGATGAAAAAAAACAAACACTAGCTTTCTATTTTTTCTATTCTATCTACTTACTGCGTTAGGCTAACCGAGACTTGTCATTTGCACTTATATATTGTTGCTCTTTTGTTAGATTTGACTGCTTTTATTGTCCTCATTTGTAAGTCGCTTTGAATAAAAGCGTCTGCTAAATGACTAAATGTAAATGTAAATGGATGATTTCAAATATTGCGACATCGGCTCGACAAATCAGCACTGTGAGTTGGAAGACATGGAAACCTACTTGGTTATTATTTTTCAGATTATGCATTTAGCAATTCTCAGTTATATCGCCTCACATTGTCTTAGCACAGACACAAGCTCACTACGCAGTTATACACTCAGTTAGTGAGTCTTTCAGTCTTGACAAATACAAATAACAGTTAACTAACTCGACTCCCACTCCCACCTCTTTGTTTTGTGTGGTTATCAGAATGGCCCAGCAGTATTATGAGTATGTGAACTATAAGGACGAACATATCCAGGAGCAGAAGAAGCCCCCCAAAGGAGCCTTCCATTCTTACATCATCATTTTCCAGTCCGTCTTCTACATCGTTTTCCATGTGAGTTAAGATGCTCAGTTTCAGGCACTCACACTAAAATGTGTGAAATGCTGTAAGTTGCAGTAATAGTTAACCTTTAATTAGTTGTGTTTCCCCTGAAGTCTTTAAATTGTATTCATAGTTGTGTGTGTGTATGTGTCAGATGCCGGCTGCATATGTGGGTTTGTGCATTAATATGCAGCTATTTATAGCGTTCACTCTGTCTCTCTTCTCTCCTGCAGCTGAGTTTCGTGTTTGCCGAGTTCCCCATGGTGCTGTTCCTCAATCACTATCTGAATGATTACAAACACACTCTCTACAAAGTTACACAGTGTGGTAAAATCCTCTCATTTTAAAGGCTCGTGTCGTTCACAGATCGAGCAGCTGCTCAGTATGATATTTGCATTGGTTCTCATATCTTGATGCTTGATGCTTAATGTAGAACTAAGAATAGTCAAAAAAGACTTGTGAGTATGAAGTACTTCAGACTTTCAAAACTGAAGTGCTTGCTGCGCTCACTGGAGAGACTTTTAAAAAGGTATTCACTTTTTGTGGGTTATAACACCTATAAAAATAAAAACCACCACATTAAACATAAGGTATACATAAGTATACATATTTATAAGGGAGCAACAGGATATAAAAACAAAAACTGACACTGTGGAAAAACAATATAACACCTCAACAGCTGTTGCTTGAATACCAACCAGACTTGCTAGGAAAATGAGTAACACAACGGCAGAAAAAGAGCAATATCAGTATGAGATTCATTCAAATGTTTGTCAGTAAGATCTTTGTAAAAAAACAAACAAAAAAAACATTGTTTTTACCAAGGCTGCATTTATTTGATCAAAATACAGTAAAACAGTACGTTTTTCTATTTGAATATATTTTAAAGTGTAGTTTATTCCTGTGATGGCAAAGCTGAATTTTCATCTGTAATTACTCCAGTCTTCAGTGTCACATGATCCTTCAGAAATCATTATAACATGCTGATTTGATGCTGCTTACTATTTTTATGGAAACCATTTTTTCCAGGATTGTTTAAAAGAACAGCATTTATTTGAATTAGTTAATTAATTAATTTAATGCATCCTTGCGGAATAAATGTAATAATTTCTTTGAAAAAAAAATTTACTGACCCCAAACTTTTGAATGTTTGGCATTTGAAAACCTTTTTCTAATTTTTTTTTTTTTTTTTCTTCGGTTTTATAAAACACTATATGTGCGGTTCATAACTAAGACAAAACATATTTGTGACCCTGGACAACAAAACCAGTTATAAAGGTCAATTTTTGGAAATTGAGATTCATACATAATAATATATAATAAATAAGCTTTCCATTGATGTATGGTTTGTTAGGATAGGACAATATTTGGCCGAGATACAACTATTTGAAAATCTAGAATCTGAGGGTACAAAAAAATCACAATACTGAGAAAATCGCCTTTAAAGTTGTCCAAATGAAGTTCTTAGCAATGCATATTACTAATCAAAAATTAAGTTTTGGTATATTTATGGTAGGAAATGTACAAAATATTTTTATGGAACAGGATCTTTACTTAATATCCTAATGATTTTTGGCATAAAAGAAAAATCAATCATTTTGACCCATACAATGTATTGTAGGCTATTGCTACAAATATACCCCTATACTGTCACTCACATTTTTTAACATAGACATGAAAGTGCACGATCCAAACTCAAATTTGTATAATTCATGAACGAAAACATTTTGTAACATGATATTGATGTACCATTTTCATGGTAATGCAATGTCTGATTTTAAAATGGGTTTCAAAGGATGAATTTTGAGATTTTAAGTTTTCAATTGATATATAATTTCTGATGATTTCTAAAGTGTGATAGAGGAAAAGGCAACGAAGAAGACTTTTTTTGACAAAGGTCAGAACTCCTGTTACGATGTAGATTTTTGAGGTGCACTCTTGTCATAAATTAATCTATTACTTTTCCTACATAATTTTTAACAAAAAACAGTGGTAAAATATCTATTTAGGAGTCTTAGACCTTTCCAACGATATATACGATATATAGTTTGTCATGATTAGATTAGGATTTAATTGTAATATAGTGAAGTAAATTTAGGCGTCCCACAGTGGGGACGGGTGACAGTTAAAGGGTTAAGACTGGTTTTGTGCTCCAGGGTCACATTTGTGGTTGTCAAATGTTAGTGAATCATGTTCATAAGTAATGCAGTAACTGATAGCAAAATTCACTCAGAAAAGTGAAGTTAGTTCTCTAGAATAATATATTTCTAGATGCTACTTGGCTTATTTTTTTTTGTCTGTAATTAATTTAAATGAATATATTATGTATATGTTGTATGGCCTTAGTAGTGTCCAAATATTTAATTAAGTGAAATGCCCATTACTTCTACTACATTGACTTAATTACACCGAAAAGAAATTTACCCTTAATCAACTCCATTTAACACCAAAGAAAATAGTTAAAAAATAGGATCAAAATCATCTCGAAGGCATGGTAGTTTCATGTGTTAATAATGAGAAGATAGCTTGCGAAATAAAATTAAATGTGTCAAGAATATTTACAGTTTAAAAAATCAGTCATTTGGCAATTAGAAACTTCACACTTCTGACTTCCTGCAAACCAGGGCGTCAGCACATCTGCTCTTCAGGGCTCTGCTGTGTCTGGCTCTTCCTAGCTCTCAGCAGAGATGACGATAAGAGTTTTTTTAAAACCAGTATTTGAAATTGCAAAATAGGCAAATTACCAGCAGCACTGCTTAACATAGAAAGTCACCCACTTGCTGCATTGTGTAGTGAAAAACACTGTATAGAGAAAGAAGCAGTTTGAAGTCTTAAGTCTTTAAAAAATGTATTCATCCAGACCTAAAATGTAATATAAAACTGTCTTGCAGTCTTGTACGATGCATTCTTTTCTCTGGTCTCATCTTATCTTCTCTCTCTCAGGAGCCTCCGGGAAAGGGGTGATAGAGAATTTAAATAAGACAGTTTTGCTCAGCTTGCCTCGCTCTCTGCTGCTTATCGAGGTGGAGAGTGTGCTCATGGGGGCAGCCTTCCTCGCCATGCTTATCGTAAGACTGTCATCATCATCATCACTATGACGTCTCTATCCTCCACATCATCTTAAATTTAAAAAATAGGATTATATCAGTCTGTAGTCAACAGCAATTTGACCTTGATAGTCCTTTCACATAGATATTTCATACTGAACCAAAGTAGGATTGTTATTTTGTTTTTAGTAAATCAAGTGATAATTTAAAAAGGAATATTTCACCCAGAAATTAAAATTCTTTTATATAGCCTCGTGCTATTCTGAATCCATTAGACTTTCTGTTAGCACTTTTTTAATGTGTCCTTGTTACACATTACATGTATTTACTATAGAAATAACAGTAAATTATGCATAATTACAAATCAATTCGTATAGTATGTACATGTTGTTAATTGATATTACTCAGTACATATTTGTGTAATTACATGGTAACAAAGACACATTAAAATAATGAGTGTCTTTTTCTTTTTGAAAATTAATTTCCATATAAGTGAATGAAAGTGAATGACTTAATGACTGTCAAGCTCCAAAATGACAACAAGCACCATAAAATTACCATAGAGTGGTCCATACAATGCATCTTTCATGTATTTATGGGATAAACAAATCGAAATTTGATCATTGTTCAACTGAATCACATCAGGTTTGATGTCCTTTTTTTTTTTTTTAAACATTCTCTTTAAGTTTTCAAGTTGGCATTAAAGTTTTTTTGTGTAGATATGTACAATAATGTTTTAATATAAAAATCTAACATAAACCAAAAACAGAAAATTAGGTTCGGTGTTCAATAATTGCTGACTATTGAAATATTTAATAATCCCCATACTGCATAAAAAGTCAATTATGTTTTAAATAAATAATGTTGTACGTCATTAAAAAAAATGATCTTGCGCTCTGGTTTGATACCAGCAACATATATTTTGGACTGTTCCTCACACAGCGTTATCATGTTTTATCATGTAGTGCACGAGTGGTATGAACCGCTCGTAATTCATCAAACTTCACCTTTCATGTTGCACTTTAAACAAGAATTTTCATTTTGGAGTGAACTACCCCTTTTAACAGTGTGCTGCCAATGTTCCCTAATAGTTCCTGGTGTTGTGTGGAGCTGCATATCGGCCCACTGAGGAGATTGACCTCCGCAGCATCGGCTGGGGGAACATCTTCCAGCTGCCCTTCAAGCACTTACGCGACTACCGTCTCCGTCTGCTATGTCCGTTCTTCATCTACTCTGGCTTTGAAGTGCTCTTCGCCGTTCAGGGAATCATACTGGTGAGAAAAAATTGTGTTACAAATTACGAATTACAAAACTGTGTAGCTGAAATACACAGGTAAAATTTGAATACCAAAAGTCAGTGTCAGCTTTCAGCACCGAGTATTTTTTAACTTAACAAGACTAAAAAGTTTTTGGTTGCCGTTTTACAATATTAAGCACCTACGAAGACACTGCAAGTAAACCAATTTGCCTGCTATTTTGGTTAATTAAGCTATTAAAGGAACAGCATGCAATCACTCATTACCTAAACAGATTTTCTCTTTTTTTATGCCTGTCTTTCTCAGTCATATGGAGTGTGTGCAGTAGGGATGGAGAAGCTGTGGTTGTTAGTTATGGTGTATGGTTTGTCATCCTCCATCTGTTCGGGCCTGTCCCTGATGCTGCTGCGCTTGCCCAGGCCGATTATTCTTCTGGTGGGCGCCTTCATGCACTTTGTGCTAATTATAGCCCTTATGTGCTGGTCGCCCCAACCACGAGAGCCTAGCTATCTTCCGTATCTGTTGGTGCTCATTGCCCTCTGGGGTCTGGGCACTGCGCTCAACAAGACTGGACTGAGCAGTGAGTACAAGTGCCATTTCCACATTAAGCTTACACCCATTTCAAGACTGCACTAACATCAATGATATGACATAACGTTGTTGTGTGTAGCTCTTCTTGGGATGCTGTATGAAGACAAGGAGCGACTAGACTTTGTTTATACCATCTACCACTGGTGGCAGGCCATTGCAATCTTCATCGTCTATCTTTGGTCTGCACTGCCTATGCGGGTAAAACCTTTATTTTTTGTAGGTTTTGACTGCAATCACTGCATACTTTGCATTTACTGTAACAGCAACACCAGGCAAAACATAATTTGCTTTATAATTTACAAAATGTTCAGTTATGTCAATTATGGTTCCAACATGTCGCCTGAAGCAAAATAAAGTACATAAATCCATCATAAAAAGTACTCCACATGGATAATAAATGCTTTCTGAAGTGAATCGGTGCATTTGTGTAAAAATAATATCCATATTTAAAACTTTCTGTGTGTTCACGAGAGCTTGGTGGCATTCCAGCTGATGACGTAGGCGTAGTGTAAGCGCCATTATAAAGCTTGGAAGAGCCAGGACATTTTTTTTTAAATATAAAAAGTAGGAAAAAGTCATAAACACTTAGGATGGCTTGAGGATGAATAAATCATGGGGTAGTTTTCATTTTTGGGTGAACTATCCCTTTAAATCTCAGAAACCATAAGCATTAATATTTAATAGCAAATTTCAATGTATTTTTTAGAGTCCTATTATAAATTGATCATATAGTCAAAACTATGTTTTGAATATGAACCTTTAATTAGACATTGTCACGCTTGAATGATTAAGTAAATACAGCAATGTAAGGGTCCTCGGTTAATTTCAGATTGGATATACTGTAAGTAGCAGTTTAGTAAGGGAGTCAGTTGTGAGCTCAGTAACAACTTGAATTAATGAATGATTTAAACAAGCGATTTTGAATCTGTTTTGTGTATCTTTTTTGACTGATTTATTCCTGTTTAAATATTTTTAGTCATTTTACCAGGAACCCACATGAGGATGAACGATTTCCCCCTGCAGATTTCACTTCGGGTTCAGTTAGTCATGCAAATTTGCGACATTGGCCAAAAGACAGTTGTTTGGTTCGAAATTGACCTCTATGTGAGTTGTGCTTTTTATATATCACTACACTATAACTGACAATTGACAATGGACTATTTTTGTCCACAAAATTTCGGTAATGTGACCGCACTTTAACTTGTTTAAAAAACTGATGAATAAGGGTTTTTAGTTTGTGAATTGGACATCACATTGTTATTGAGTACAGAAAACACTGAGATCTAATCAAACACATTAAACTGTTGTCAAATGCTTTTTGTTGCTCTTTGTTGGTAAGTTTAGTCGTAGTGTGGAGTTCTGTCTAAAGGTGCAGCCACATTAGCAATATTTCAGCAAACTTTTGATGCATGAAGCACAGTTCACACAGAAGTTACTTCAAACCAAGCAGCTTTCATTTGCGTGACTAACATGAACATTGCGAATTCTGCACTGGGGGCTTTTTCACACTCGCGCGAAACTCCCGACAGCACAGATTCCTGTTGAAGTGACTGGATTTTGTTCATGAAATTCTATTAAATATGTGGAAATGTATTCACTTTTTTTTTTTTTTAACACAAAAATCGATGTTGAACATTGTCTCTGGTCTCTTTTTAAGGCCAAGCTTGGACTTCTGTTGTTAGCTCTCATAGTGGCGAGTTTCTGCTACGTGCAGATGGAGCGTCGCCTGGCGAAGAAAATTCCATTCAGGTTGCCGCGGATTCCCCGTCCACGACACAAGGTAATTCAGCTATTAATGTGTCACTGCAGTGAGTCCCAGGAGGCTTTAAAGTGATTTTATAAAAGAAACAGCCTCTCCAGTGCCTTCTGTTAGCGTTAGAAGTAGAATTCATTTATTCTGTAAAATAAAAAAAATGTTTCCAGGTTCAAAACAACTTTATTGACAGAATCTGTCGATTACCACAGACAATAATTTTGACTCATCCTCAATTTGTATTATTATACTTCCATATAACTCTCATTGCTAATGTCTTACATTACTATCCTGTTCCTCAAAGGTTAAAGGTTACCGATACCTCGAGGAAGAAAATTCTGATGAATCCGACACAGACTTGAGTGATGCTGATGCTGATGCTGATGGGAAAGATGAGGATGAGAGAAGGTTTGTTGAGGAGGACAGAAATACAGACAACGATTCCCAGGGTTCACCGGGACTGGAGAGGGGCGGGGTTAGGGACCGCAGGAAGAAACACGACAACGCTGCCTATGAACAGGCAGGAGAGAGGGAGGACTATGTCCAACACACGAGGGACTAGAAAAGAGAGGTGAAAAGGTACGATTGGGGATTGGAAAGAGATGAGAGGAAGTTGTAAAATACTGAATAGCCAGATTGAAAGAGAAGCGATGGTATGGGAAACGTTTACTCACTTTTATATTAAATAATGCTTTTTTTCTTTAGAAAGAAAAAGTGTAGGCCACCGATGGGAAAAAATGAAGGTCAGAAAGTAGTAGAAGTGAACCAAGCATTTCATTGAAATGGGAAGTGAAAAGAGGAAACTGCAGATACTTTGTAAGGTTAGATGGTTTGTTGCCATAGAAATGGATATTCTCCATTTCGAACTTGGTCAAGGTGATGTACTCGAGTTGTGTATTTCATTCTAATTCTTTTCTGTGCGCTGTAATTCTTTATCCAATTCATATCTGTTTTCCTCATTGTAACTGAAGAACCAAAGTTCTCTCCATTTAAAAAAAAAAAAGTGTTACATTTCATTTTCTTATATGTTATAAAACCAGTTTTAAATTTGTAATAAACATAAAATAGAGATATATGATTTAAAATGGTGCTTTTGCCTATTTTGGAATGTTTTAAACCATAGTATGATGTGCTTTAATATGAACACCATAATACTGCAAGCTTTTTTTTTTTATTTAGAGTTTGCAGTGTTTCTCTTTCATCTGCATTTGATAAGGTATTATATGCAGTTATATTCTTCTTAGGGGCCATTCACACGGAATTAATTTTTTGTATTTTGCCATTAATTTTTCCATTATTTTTTTTATGTAAACATGCGCTAGATGGACTTTAGTGCATGACACAGCATTCTAAAAATGCAGTACTCAAGTTAAAATAAGTTCAACAACGCATTTTTGCATTTGAAAATGTGAGAGGCAGGGCAGTGGAATGGAAATATTTAACTTGAGCTGTGTTTTATTTTATTTTTTTAAGTTTATCACTGTTCAGGCGAATTTTCTCGCAGGTGAAATCAAGTTATTTCAATAGGAATCCTTGCGATTGGAAATTTCTTGTGAGGGCGAAAGATTTCCCTAAGCAGATTTTGTAACTGGTTTAAGTTTGTCACATTGACAAACAAAAAGTTGCTTTAGTCGGGCAAGATGCTGCAAAAGATGCAAGACTCGAGCGCAATGCAACAGCCAAAAAATGTAGCACATCATGTTTACATAAACAGTGGGATGTAATAATGCATTCTCTGTGAACTGCCCCATCTGAGCTTGGATTTCAGACAAAAAGAAATAGAGCATGCATTGACGCTACAGTATGATTTGCTCTGAATGGTGGTCAATCAGGACTCCCCCCCCCCCCCCCCCCCCCC